GTACTGCCTTTGGAAATCTGCATCTTGAACAATTCTAGTGCAGAATGCTGTGGCCATGCTGTTTACTGTTCCAAACCTTCCAAAATAAATAATTATTGTTCCCTCCAGGCCAGTTCCAAAGGATACAGGTCCTGTCCATGACAAAAGATCTAATAGTGTCTGCAATGTGATGTGAGAGTTTTGAAGAAGAAATTAAAAGTGGAAGAAAAAAAAATACTTGACATCTAAGAAGACAATGTCCTGCTGTAATAAATGTACTACGGAATACATGTAACAAAATTAAAGAGACAAAAAAATTACAAAGCTTACTTAATTATTATTAAGTAAGGAAGTGCTAGCTTGACCCTGTCAGGACCACCCTTGAATTTTGTAATGTCCCAAATTTATGTGCCTGACAGAGAAGTATGGACATAATATACAAAAGAATCAGCAAGAGACAATGCATACAGCAAAACAGTCTAAGAAAGACTGTCACATTCATCAACTTAATTGTAAGAGCCAGTTTCAATAAAATGCTATTAACTTAATTGTAAGAGCCAGTTTCAATAAAATGCTATTAATCCATGAAAGATGCATTATATATATATATATATATATATATATATATATATATATATATATATATATATATATATATATATATATATATATATATAGGCCTCTGGTGAGTTCGATCTGTCGCTTTGTATTCCTGTTTTTATCCATATGCCTAGCCTAGGCTACACAAAACGAAATCTGTTTTCTATTTCTACAGTCTGTTGCCTTTTCTCACTATTGCCTATAGGCATATAGATCTAAATGCTATTGCATGCTCTCTTTCTTTCCTCTCCAACTCTTCCCTACCCACAGACCCCATGCAGGGCTATGTAACTAATTAGTAAAATAAGTAAAAATATATTAACCTTTATTAGGCTATCTTAAATTAAACTGCTTATGTTGTAAGCTAGATATCTAGATCAACACGTGTATTTAGGCTAAGGCAGGCATATTTTTATTATGCTGGAAACCTATAGATCTAGAATCTAGATCTAGAGTCTAGATGACTTTTTTTCTTATGTAACTACTGACACTGTCGACTAGATAATTAGGTCTCTAGAATCTAGATCTAGATCTAGATAATCTAGATGTCGATTCTAGATCTA